AGAGAGAGAGAGAGAGAGAGAGAGAGAGAGAGAGAGAGAGAGACAGTGAGAGAGAGAGAGCATCGAAACTGTTCCTTTCTTCGCAATGATCGTTACTCGTGAGGTGCTACTTAAAATTTGCCTTGCAATTCAAGGGTAAAATGTTTCAATATCCCATGCAGGACTTGGATAACATTGGCCCAACCATCCATTTCTATGACTTGGTCGGGTATGGGTGGACCCGGACCTGACCCGTCGGGTCCAAAAGTTGGACCCATACCCGTACCCGTCAGGTCTTAGGTTTGGTCGGGTCCATTGCCACCCTCACTATGAGCTTCATTTTTTGTAGCCTACAATGGTGAGCAACATAGAACTACTTTTTTAGGGGTGGGTGATTAGAGAGAGAGATAGACATTTGAGATCCAAAGAGAGCTAGTCTCCAAGAAACTGAGAGGGAGAATAGCAGAGAAGGACGACGATGGGGTTTGGCCGTTTGGAAAACTAGGGAAAGACAAAAAGTATTGAAACGATTTAGGGTTGGGGCTTTGGCCTTTGGGTAAACTAAAAATTCGAGTCCGGATACCCGTCGGGTCGGGTATGGCAAGACCTGTACCCGGACCCGGACCCAGGACTATCCGGGTATCCTTTATTGGACCTGGACCCTACCCGTGGGCCCAAAACTTGGACCCATACCCAGACCCGAATCAGGTATACCCGACAGGTATGGGTCAGGTCCGAATCCATTGCCACCCCCAAATGCATGCTCCACCCAACACCTCTTCGTCTGTACTCGACATGCCACGGATCATGTTACCATGGTAACATAATGGTCATAGAGGTCATCACCTTCAAATCAATTGATTTGATGGAAATGTTATGAAAGTAGGCCCATCAAGCATTCCACTAGTTCATTCGTATGTACCCACTCTTTCTCCATCACAATGCTTGCACAATGACAACAATTACAACCAGTGTTTAAAGCCTGTATTATTAGGGTGGATCGTTCACCTCCTAGATCTGTGTGAGATCACTTGATAGGTCAAAATCGGTGTTTAAAAAACAAAACAAAATAAAAGAATAATTAAAATATGGGTTTGTGGGATGGGGTTTTGGGGGCAACCAAGAAAAACATTAGATAAGCCTGTCAAAAAGGGAGAAAATATAAACCAGAGGGTTGTAGGGGAGAACTAGGCCATGACCCATATCATCGCGAAATTTGTTAGGCCCCAACAAATTCCCCATCAAAATCAGGAACCTGATAATATAATTATCGGAGTTTTCATTTGGAATAAATATGTACCACATGTATACATTAGGAATAGTATTTCATTGGAGTTTAGCAATATCAAGAGTAAAAACGAAGTAGTAGTTAAGATTGATGGTCAAGAAATGCATAAAAGATATTATATGAAATCTTGGATCGATAATTTAGAAAAATTGAGAGATTGAGGAAGATATCGCACATAGAATTAGAGCTGGGTAGGCGAAGTGGAGATGTACATCCGGAGTTTTATGTATTTGCCGCATACCAATAAAATTGAAGGGAAAGTTCTATAAAACAATTGTAAAACCAGCTATGCTTTATTAGACAGTATGTTGGGTGGTAAATAGACAACATGCCCATAAAATAAGTGTAGCTGAGATAAGATATTCAGATGAATGAGTAGCAAGACAAGAAAGGATAGAACTCGAAATGAATACATTAAGAAAATTTAGGTGCAGCTTCAATAGGCAATAAGATGAATGAAGTTAGACTTAAGGTGGGTTTGCGACGTACAGCATGGGTCTAATACAACATCGGTTAAAAGGTGCGATTTAGTTCAAGTAGAAGACTCTTAAAGGGCAAGGGGAAGCCCAAGAGGACATAGATGAAAGTAGTGAGAAAATATAAGGTGATTTATGTTCTTATTGAGAGTAAAATCTAACCTTTAGTGGAGTAGAATGGTGGAACATGATTGGTGTAACCGACCCAAATAGTTGGGATAGGGCTTGGAGGATAGGCGTGTGCCACTTAAAACCGCCAATTGTCGAACCCTGGCTAGCCATATATATATATATATATAGGGAAAAGAAGGGATTAGCCCACTAGCTCATATGAACATATGAGCCCAACGACCCAGATTGAATCTGGACCGATCAAACGATCATGGATGTCTGGTAGTATTTGAATTTTTTTTTCTACTAATCTAAATCACTTGAAATTTTAGGTGTGTGTTCTTCTCATCAAAGCGCACCTAATAAAAATATAAAAAAATTTATTCATAAAAACAAAATTACCAAAATACCCCCCAAAGATTTTTTAGGGTACTCTGGTCAATTTATTTCATGTAAAATATTTTTTTTATATTTTTTGAAAATTCGTCTATTTTTTATAAACACACACTTAAAATTTCAAGTAATTTGGAT